ATAATAGTTTATAATGATATCAACACAATTAGAAACTGAATTTCTTTGTGCCAGGCAAACTGGGATTTGTGTTTGCTCACTTCCAAAATCAATTTAGTTTTATCCAAAATCTAGGCTCCTATTTTTCTTACATAATTTTAAATAGTTTCCTTGCCAATTCAATAAAGTTTAAAAAAAAAAATTAAAAAAAAAAGGTACAGTTTCTATTCTCTGATTTTGCAAATCAACAGATACATAAATCAGAAATTACCGAAAAATTGACAATGTGGAATACTTTTTATAAGAAAAGTTCCTCGCTTCCATGTTACACATGGAAAAAACCACAAAAACTCTCATACAGTCAATCTATTTGCTGGGATTTGAAACTGGGCTGAACTGACAACACTCCTCAGTTTTATCTATTGCCTACTGTGAGCCATTTCTGTCACAAAATATTGTTAATACACATTAAATATGGGTCCCACCAGTCGTTGAGAAGTTATGACACACCCCTGAACGCTGGTAGTTTAACCCAGGTTTGAACACACTCAAATGGGCTAGCTGCATGGTTGTTTATCTCCATGTGTAACATGAATATGAGTTAGTTTCCCATAGGAAGTTCTCCACAAAGGTATCCCTGTCCTTGGGCATGCAGCCCTTGTGTACTTGTACACAAGTACTTGTACATATCAAAATAACCTAACCTAACTTTAAATTTGAATGCAGTGTTCACAGTCAATGGTAAATCACACATTTTAAGGTATTTTTTAAAAATTTCTTGAACTATGAAAATGAGAAATGAGAAATTTACTCATTATCTGTAATATGTGTTATCGATCGTTTCGCATTCCTAGACATCCATACCCTGTATGGTCATTAGGCCTTTAACTGTAATAACTCATTTGCATCATTAAAAAGAAACATTATATTTATTGCAACGATTCATCCACTGCCACTTGTTTTTCTATGTTCTCCCTTTTCTATAAACACACATATACGTCTAAGTTTTTGTGCTTTTGTTCTCACCATATACACAGTCATCTATTTTCAGGCAAGGAAACATCTGAGAATATTATAAACTTGGTATTAAAATTCCAAAATCAGAAAGGAGAAAGAGGTGCATGTCTTTAAAGCAAGCAGCATTACAGCCTATGCATGTAGAAGGCTAAATATAAGATTTTGCCAAAAACAATCAAAACTACACTAAGCTGTATACCACTAGGCTAAAACCTTAAAATTTCCATTGGAGGGATCATAATCTGCAGTCAAGCTACTGAAAAACCATCTGGGAGATTGCTATACACATGCCTGGGTTGAACAATAAATATTTTTTGGTGACATCATGGGTTGCCATGTAAATGCTTTTTGGCGACATGGTGCCTTGCTTCATGGGAACAGCATATGAGCGTATGCACCGTCTGCTGACAAAGTTACGTGATCAGCACGATGATTCATCTGCAAAGTCACATGACAGCCAAAGCAAAGTATTTACATATAGGAAGAAAATATCCCTTCCCTTTTCCTTTTCTTCCTAACATAGTGAAAAACCAAACTAGCAACCTAAAAAAAAAAAAAAAAATCAACTGGCAAAATATTAGGTACTGTTCTATTTTATCGGGACCGGACTGACAAATGTATGCATTGTTAGGCATGTATATACATATATGTGTATGTATATACACATAGATTCGTACTTACAATATATGAACACATACATCCATATATACATGCATACATATCTACATATCTGAATTAGGTCCTGATAAAAGAACAGTGCGAAATATTATATGCACATAGATAAATTATGCATTTAATAGACAATACAGTGGCTTTTAAAATAAAGCTCTCACCAACCAGTAAAAATCCTTTACCTACTTCAACACAGCCTCTTTCTACTCAGATATTTATAGATTTAAAAATTTCCTGTGAGGAGACATCAGTAAATTTTCAAGTCCTTGCTACATAATGTAGAGTTTTATGAAATTAACTAAAACATATGTAATACAGAGTAATGACACATTTCTATATTTTAAAAAGAAACTAAAAGACATTCATAATTGGAGGCTATCAAAATCAAAACATACTGATATAGCAACGAAATGAACTGAAATATAAACAGAACCTTAGTTTTAAAAATGTTGTGATACTTCTTTTGTATTGCAGTTTCCATTTTTTAAACATCAAGCTGGCATCAAAATTATTGCCAAGTTCATGTCTCGTGTACACTTTGTTGCTGCCCTACTTCCTCAACTGCTTTTAATATGGCATAAGAAGCACTCTAAGGTCTCAAAGATTTTTGCTATATTAACTCTGCAAAATAAGATATATGATGATAGAGAAACGTGCCTCTTTAATTTTTATTCCACCACTTAGCAGAGCTCCACAGTGTTTCTATATTTTATATATGAGCAGCTGTTGTTAGATCAAGAAAATAAAATTTATATTCCACAGAAAAATGTCTCTTAAGCTGGTATTTACAAGTTCCTGTCTTTTACATTCTCACCAGAAGTTTGAATAAATTGTCACTCCCTCTTGTAGACGGTCGACAACTTTTGGCATGAGTGTGGATGGTTCTCTATTTAGAAAGTGAACGAGAAAGAATTTTCAGTTTTTTGGCATAACTTTTCATATATACAGTATCGTAGAAGAATCATGCCAGTTTGGGTTTTTTGTTGTATGAACAGATTTTCAGTTATGTTCAAAATTTTTTCAGGGCCACCTATTCATATATTTGGTTGGTGGATCATATGCAGAGAATACATCTCTCTTGTAAAAATGTTCCAAAGAATAGTCACATTTTTGTAGTGTTTCTTTCATTTTATGCTGTTACAAACAGTATTCTGAAATCACTAAACCAGCTGTTAAAACATATACTTTTCTTTCATTTGCAAATTTTCAAGCTGCACCTCTAAATGCTTTCACTGATGTGAAATTTTCTTTAATGTCCAGTTTTGCATATTGGAATGTGATATAAAATATGCACATTTCTTGAAAGAAAGATATAGCAAGCATCTTCCTTACTTCTTAGTAAATTAAGAATTTTAAGATTAAAACATAAATAAAATTCATTAACATGTAGAATACTGAGAGCTCTTCTTGTGATGAGAGAATTCTGAGTGATTATAAATTATTAGCATTTGCATGGTAAGAAATATGATAACATTGTTTCCTTGAAGATCTTCTCATTACAAGCAAACTGTAAATCATCATTGTTGGGGCTGCCGGATGTTTCAGAATAGTTTACATTGGAGATTTATCAAAAATCTTGACACCTTTAAAAAACAGGGTCCATAATAATAAGAAAGAAACAATATCACATCCTTACCAAGCTTGATTTAATTTATTTGATTATAGCCCGTAAGGGCTATCAACCTAAAATGATGGATGTCTTTGTGAAGGACTTTCTGGGGGAAACTGGCTCGTATCTACACTAGAAAAGCCTGGAATCCATTTTTGAAGTCATTTTTAAGCTTTAAATAGATATTAGCTTTCTATGAAAATACCTTGGCAGCTCCATAAGGGCTCATTCATATTAAAATTTGAGTGTATTTCACAGGATAAAAATTTGTTATTAAATTTAGTGTGGGTGCAATATATTTTTCAAAACTTTTCAGAACAAACTTATATACACATTAAAAATTCAGAACATCCAAAAACTATATAAAAAAAATGTTCCAGTAGATCTTTAGTTTAAATATACTACATGATAGTTTTTCCATCCAAAGATTATGTAAACAATTTATATTTAAAGCAGATTCCTTTCAGATATACAATAAAATAATACAAGTTGTCATATTTATTACAAAATGTTCCTAATTTTAAATAGATTAATTATTCATTTGAATAATATATAGAGAAACAAATAATAATTTTTTTCTAATACAATGATGAAATTAAAGCACACATTAATTATTAGATGAAATGTATTGCAAATATTAACGGAATTAATTTAAAACTGAAATCTCATATATTTCTTGGTGATTTAAAATAAACACACGAATATATTGGAAAGCTATACATGCTAAAATGTTAATATTTGGTATGTATTTAGTTAGCATCTGTAGTATTTTCAGAAAAATTTTCTTTACTTCTGAAACTCATATTGCACAAGAATGTTTCAATTTATGTGCAGAAATTTACTGAACGTAAGGTGCGTATCTTTGATGTGACATCATCTTACACGCAGTTCGGATGTCACGTGACCTCCCTGCGCGTTTGGGGATTTAGCGTTGACCCTTGAGGGCTACCTGCCTAGGTGATGGAATACTTTCATGGGGGACTTTCTACGGAAATCTGGCTAGTATACATGTTACACATTGGGAAAACCACAAAAACACCCATGACGTCAGACCATTCACAGGATTTGAACCCTGGACCGAACTACTAGTGTTCAGCGATTTTATCACTCAGCTGCTAGTGGGCCTGGCCTATTAACCAGAGAAAAATATATACTTTTATTGCACTGAAATCACAGTATTAATACATGAAATGTGTTCTGGGTAAAAAGTATAGCATTAATTCTTCCACAATAGTACTTGATACCTGATACAAGTATCTCTGACCCTGGGTAATAAGAGATTGATTATTCAATTATTTAGCATCCCATTTCTAGAACACTAACAAATTATTTACAGTTCATGTAAACAATTCTTCTACCAATATTCTATTCACAGATTAGTTGTTTGTTAAAACTTCAAGAATTTCTTTTTATTTAAATAAATAACTTAGTCTGATTTACAAATTTAATAAATCATTGCATGATTTTTACTTTTTTACACCATAAATTCACAGTAATTTCATTTGAAATCAAATTATAAAACATTCAGTTTTAAATCTCATAAGCAATTTAAAAATCATTTAATCATTCTGATACTAAATTTATAATATATGATGAAATTCACATTTCCTGAGAGCTTTCTAGAGTCATAAAAATCAAGTATGCATATTTATATGCATTTAATCACACCTTATAATAATCAGACATTTCTAAAGCAATTTTTAATTCATATTTATTTACTCACCTAAGAGGGAAGCTAAAATTTGACCACACACGGGATCTGCAACTAGAGCTTCCTTTTCATAATATTTGCTAAAAAGAAAGTTATTGTTAATGTTATAAACTCAAATTTATTTAATGCATTTATTTTATACTTTTGTTTGCATGTGCAATGTCTAATTTGTATAATTCTATTCGCAACATCCTACTGTAGTTTAGAAACACTGCTCTATACTATTGAAATGTAATGTTACCATCTGTCTTTTCTTCGCACAATGTACAGATAATAAATTCTTTCCTGGTTGTTTAATGTTAAATAAATACAAGGCGTATTCGGAAACTAATTACCGTTTTGAAAAAAAAAATTGTAAAACAATTTTTTTGAATCCAATTTTATTTTTACATGAAAATACATGCCTTAAACTATTTTTCAACATAGTTCGGCCAATGATCAAACACTTGTCATAGTGGGTGACCAGTTTTTGTATACCATCGTCAAAGAAACTTCCCGCCAGTTTCGATAACCATGACTCCACAGCATTTTTCGTGTCATCGTCAGATCCAAAGCGCTTGCCACCAAGCTTGCGCTTCATGTGCAGGAACAAGTGATAGTCGGACGGCGCCAAGTCTGGGCTGTACGGCGGGTGATCGAACTGCTCCCAATGAAACTGTCGAATTAACGATTGAGTGACACCAGCAGTATGGGGCCGAGCATTGTCATAGAGCAACACAATTCCTTTACTGAGCATTCCTCTTCGTTTGTTTTGAATGGCACACCTTAGTTTTGTTAAAGTCTCACAATATCATGCCGCATTAATGGTTTCACCTCTGGGAAGAAATTCAGTAGGCAAAATGCCTTTCCTATCCCAGAAGACAGTGCACATGATTTTTTGTGATGACATTGTCACTTTGAACTTTTATTTTTTCGGAGAATGAGTGTGTCTCCACTCCATCGATTGTTGTTTCGATTCTGGTGTGAAATGACACACCCAAGTTTCATCACCTGTCACAATTTGGTTTAAAATGTTTTCTCCCTCATCACTGTACCACATGAGAAATGTCAGGGCACTACCAAGTCGCTTTGTTTGGTGAACATCAGTGAGCATTTTTGGAACCCATCGGGAACACAGTTTGCGATAATTCAAGCGGTCAGACACAATTTCGAACAAAACAGTACGTGAAATTTGTGGAAATGCCTCTGAAAGAGTTGTCATGGTGAAGCGTCTGTTCTTATGAATTGCTTCATCAACTTTCCTTACCAAATCATCGGTGATAACAGAAGGCTGACCACTCCGAGCCTCGGCGTGGACATTTGTTCAACCTGCATTGAACATTCTTACCCACTTTCTCACCATTCCATCCCTTATCGCATATTCACCGTAAACTTCTGTCACTTGACGATAAATTTTGGCCAGTTTAACATTCCTTGCGTTCAAAAATTTAATCACGGCACGAATCTCACAGTCAGCGGGAAAACTAATTGTCTTAAACATTTTGAATGTGCACAGCAAACTGAAAACACAACATAGAGCAACCAAAATGGCGACAATTGAAAGTCAGTGAACAAGAAAGACTAGTGCGCATGCGCGGGAGGCGCTAGAATGAAACGATACTTAGTTTCCGAATACGCTACGTAACATTTTACATAGCTCTGCATCACTTACTTAATAATACTTTAAGAGGTAATAGGCCCAGCCTAACTTTATCTGCGTTATAAGAAATTTTATTGCTAAGCCTAACTGTGCAAGTTCCTCAGAAGTGAAAATGAGTTTCATTGTAATCATGAAAGTATTTAGTACAAAAAAACTTTTAGGTTCACAAAATTGGGTGCAATGGAAGTGGATGCTTGCAGGTTTACTTATGGAAAAAGAAGGAGCTTTCGAAGTGTGTTTTGAAGAAATAGTCAAACCAGAGCCAGTTGCCGAAGGTGCTTCCCTTGAAGTCCGGAATAAGTACAACGGAGAATTAACTAAGTTTGACAAGGATAATACAGCTGCTCATGGAATTTTTTCACAGACATTAGACTCAATAATTTTTGATTTAGTTTCCATGTGCAAAACAGCAAGAGAAATATGGGTGAAGCTGCATGAATTGTTTGAACAGAAAAATAAGGAAGCACAATATGCATGCCAGTTGCAGTTTTCATCATTTGCGCATGATCCTACAGATACAATGGCCATGCATATAGAAAAATTAGAACACCTGGTGTCACGAATGCACAATTTGGAAATTAAACCAAAGGACTTTGTTATTATGAGCAAATTATTAGAAACTCTCTCTAATGAATTTGAGCCACTAAAAATGGCTTGGTGTGCAAGGCTGGAAGATGCAAACACTGCCGAACTGAAAGGACTGTTAATTTCAGAAGAGCAGAGAAGGATATCAGAGCCATGTAGGGACAGTAAACTTGTTGCTTTAATGGCTAAAGATACTGTTGGAAAAACTGCAAGCATGCAAACATTTTCAAGAAAAAATGGGCCCATTAACAAACAGAGAAAACAGTACAAATGTTTTAAATGTGGCAAAAAGGATCACTTTAAAAGGGACTGTAAATACCAGAAAAATAATTACATGACAGTCAATCATGATGAAAAGTCCAACTATGGGAAAGCTTTTATTAGTGAGTGTCTCATTTTGAATGATAATAATGCATGGGTAATCAACACTGGAGCTACTCAGCATATTACAAACAAAATTGACTGGTTTCAATCATATACAAAATTTGAGCATCCAATTGAAGAAAGAGTTGGTAATGTTATGTATTAATTGTTATTAATTTCAAGCTTTAAGTTGATTGCTTATGTATTTCTGTTTGATCAGTAATTGTTTTTTTTTTTTTTTTGCTTTAGTTGTTTAAAGTTAGTTGTAAGTTTTAAGCTGTAAACTTTTGGTAAACTTTAAATTTAATTTGAAGCTTTAAAAGTTTTCTTAAAGTGAAGTTGTTTAATTTTAAATTGAGTTTAGGGATTCAAAGTTTTATTCTGTTTTGTAAAGTTTGTTTTGATCCTTAAAGTTATAACTTTTAACTTTAATTTGCTTAAAGCTTGTTCATTACACATTTTTTTTGGTGTGTTAATTTTTTTAATTTAGAGTTTGGTTAACGTCTACCCCTCTTCTGCTAAAGTCTTTTGAATCAATAATTTCTGGTTGTAAGGTGTTGGAGAAATATAATTTTTTAGTCATATTAATTAAGGTTTAATCAGCTTTTGTGTTTGCTGAATTTTATTATTTTTTTAAGTAAAGTTAATTATGTTAGTCAGTTTATATAACTGTCGTAAATTTTGATAACTCAAAATAGGTCTTTTGGGTTTAATTATGTATTAAAGAGACTTTAATTTCAAATATTTGAGTATTATCTCAATTTAAAAATAGAAATTATGTATTTAACTAATGGAAATTTAGATGCTTTTGTACAGAAAATTTATGCCTTTCTGGTAGAATTATATGTTTTCGCTTAGCTTACTTGCTTGAGAAGTTATTCGTAATTAAATTTATATTTTTAGCAGAAATGGTGCAGATTTCCTGACTTCAAAATGTTCACTTAGAAGCGCAGTTTTTAAGCTTCCAAAGCTGGGTTTTGACAGGTGATGAATGTTTACTCCCACCCATTTCCGGAGGGGTGAATCTTCCCATGAAATGGGTTAGTTGCCTTGGCGAGAAAATTTAAAAGGTTGAATTATTCTTGGAAAAATTTAGAAATTTTTATATGGTTTTGTTCTTGGCATGATTTTTCTCATCTCTTTTGGGGAGTTTTTGGGAATGTGGAAGATTTCCTATTTCAAAACTTTTGTGTGCCTGTTAGAGGCAGATTGGACACACAAAAATTTCTGGGCCAGCAGAGTGTAGAAGGTGAAAAAGAAATGCTGCAGCAAAATTCCTTCCGCTCTCACCGGTTCCGAAATAATTAATCTCCAACTTTTGGGAAGTTCTTTATTGAAGAAGATTATTTAGACCTCTTCAGATTGCCAGTGATGGAGTCTATTGTATTGAATCATCTGTCACCTATAGAAAACTCTCTGCGCAAAGTCCAATGAAGTTTGCCAACACGTCACCCCAGCGGAGTAGGCCTACTGCAGATGGAAGGAGGTGAAAATTTCTGATGTTCCCCTCCAGTGCAACGGTCGCACTACAGATTGCCGGCTTAGAGGGTCAACTTGGTCTGCGAGATACCTGCCGCCGAATGCAGCAGATCTGAGTGTCCTGTTTCAGGAAGACTGTACCAGAGGATGTCTACAAACCAGGAGGTAACATTACCTAAATTTTCTTTCAAAGATGGGAACATTTGCAACCAGTGCCGACCCCTATTTCTTGGTCAATCATCAATAATTTTATTCTTTTACTGAGAAATAATATTAAGTGTTTGTTTAATGAATAGATCATTATTGTTAATTTAAAATTGATTTCTAACTTTTAATACTCCGGAGGATATCCTTGTCTAATTACAATGAATTACATATTTAATAAATCAGCTTACCTACTATTTAGGTGTGATAATTATAATACTTACTACATACACCTTCTTAACCAGGGTTGTAGCACATTTAGATTACACAACACAATGGTTTAACTTTTTCTAGGTTATTTTGATTTTGTTGTTGGTGTTCTTCTTAAGGTAATTAAAAGGCAGGTTGTTCACCACCTTCAGTTGATTTATTTTATTTAAGAGTGAGGAAAATTATACACCACAACAGTAATAATGCAACAATGAAAGCTTATGGACATGGTGCCATATTACTTAAAATGTTAGTACAGAGTTCATGGAGAAACAGCTGCATGGAAAATGTACTGTATGCCCCTGATGCTGCAAGGAATTTATTTTCTGTAAGCCAGGCACTAGATCATGGATGCGAGTTTAATATGGCAAATGATAAATAAGAATTTTTGAAATCCAAAAATGTTGCTGCTGTTGGAATTTGCTGTGGTAACTTATTCGAGTTCTTGTGCAAAAACGTGTCTCCTGAAATTGAATGTAGTGTTTTGTGTCCCCCTGAAGCGCAAGTAAGTGAAACAAATTCGCTTCAACTCTGGCATGAAAGGCTGGGACATTTAAATAAACAACATGTTAAAAAGGTATTACCATGGCATTGAAATAA